CCGCCCCATTGTGTGGATGACGGCAGGTACAAAAGCACCAAATGCGAGTGCCTGTTAGTTTCCTCTTGCCTTGAAAATAGCACCAAGACTCTCTAATGCCAAGAGATGAGCAAATAAAAATACTTAATTTCTGGATTATTAGTGTCTTCAGGCAAAAAAGAAAGTGTATCATTCATCACATGCCATCCCACTGCATTTACAGTTCCCAGTGAAACTAAATCTAGAAGGAATGGGGAAAACGTTTTTTGGAGAAAGAATCTTTCAGATTAAAGAAAAACTAGACTAAGAAATTCAGAATTTTCAGTTAAAAAAAAGAATGTTTTTGCTTTTTCTTTGAATGTGGTTTTGTTTGGCTTTGGGGCTAAGAAAGGGGTCAAGAGTTTAGTTACTGCCCTCTGAATAATGTAGAACATTGCTGAATCTGACATAATTGAAATTTTAAGCCTAAGTCTTGTTTTCCGCCTACTGGATCTCACTATGCCACTGAAGTACTATTCCTTAAATCTACTGAGACCCCTCTGAGTAGCTACTAGTCACCCTGATGATGTGTTACACATTACCACTTTTTCTGTGTGTGCAACAGGGAAATATTTATAACGTAGTAAAGTGAATTTGTTATTTTTCTTATTCTCAGAAAACACTGATGATCAAAGGATATAAAAAGTGAGGACATGATAACTGCCTATTATACCATGGATTTGTCTCACAAAAATTGAATTACTTGATATTCGCTTTTGACTAAGAACTATAAAAATCCCAGCCCTTTAATCAGAACTCTTCTTCCTAATCCTACTAATAACACCTATCACAGGCACTCAATGCTTGAAATAGAGTTCCCTGATTTGCTTCTCAAGTAAAAGAATGAATCCTGAATTTTTAGTGTACTTACTTTGAGAGTTTATTAAAGCAACGATTTTGCTTTTCTGAGTTATAAAAATTAATTTAAATAAAACCTTGATGGAAAGAAGATAAAGAAATGTGACAGTGTGAACTATTCTTCAAAAATATGCCACCGAAGATAGAGGGGTAGATAAGAACAAGCAAGCACTGTATAATAAAAGGTTAGCAGTAGAATCTAGGTGGTATTCCAAGGTCACACAGTAAACTCATTTTGACTTTTCAGCTTGCTTGAAACTTTTCATGATGAAATTCTAGGAAAGAAAAAATAAAAACGTCCACACCTAAAACTCGATCTGTATACTTAAGAAAATGTCATTGTGAAACAACATGAAATCGATGGAAAATTATGTTAGACAATTTTTATTTTTGAAAAACTTGGGAAATGCAAGTATTTTTTAAGAATATTTGTAAGCTTTTGACATTATGTATTTTCTTCTAGGCCAGGAGATACCTTAAAAACAGCTGGCACTATGAGGGACTGCCAGTTAAAGTAAAAATTATGTCATGTATCACTGCTATTTCATTACCCAACTAATAAATAACTGGAATAGCTATTTACCCAGTTAAATTTAGTCTTCAAAATACTAAACATCTAGATTTATACTAATGATTTTAAATGTAGCTTAAAATCACTGCACTTCATATTTGCTGTCTTTTATTTCTTACCTAACCATACACCTTCAGAGCCATATTTGTGGACTATAGGTTTTGTCTGCTCATACTAAACCAACCCAAAGGGTGGATCCCATGGCTTCCTCATACCAGAGAACAAGCACATTGTGGGGTTGGATGCATGTATTGGGGGGAGGGGCTGTAACTATTTTTTAAAAAGAAAAATTGAAGGGTTTTTTTTTTAAATACCAGATTTAACAAGGCCTTCTGCCAATGATTTTCTGTAACAATGATATTTACCCTTCAGAAGTTGATGTCCCACACACATAGAACAATCAGAGGTGCAGAAATCATCTTTTTAACTGGCTAGTTATTTTCAATTTGAAAGTTTCGTCCAAGATTATGCCCTGACAATGAGGAAATCTCTTACTCTTCTTCTAGGCTCTTTGAAGAAGCACTGCCTTCTCCTTCATTCCCTGTCGTCTCTTCCAGGTTCCGTTTTAACTCCCACAGCATTGTTACTGTGGCTCATGAAAAAAGCAAACGATGTGGGGAGAAAAAAGGGATACGGGACCAGAATGCTGTGAAAGGACTGAGCAGCTTAGTGTTACAAGGGAGCACCAAAGGAAATGGGGCATGTTAAATGCAGTCAACAAACATTCATTCCACTATCCTACCACAGTTGCCACCAGGGACACAAGCAATAATTACATCACGACTCTCCACATTAAAAACAAAAACGGTAACACTTTACTCCCAGAAGCACAGAAAGGAAGGGTAAAGTCCTGACCCCATTTTTTGCTGCAAAATAGTCTTTATATGAATCTTTGCTATGGCAATTTTATGGGTCTCTTAACCAGTCATATTTTATTTCCTTTTTTAATTATGACAGAAATTCACTTTTGTTTTTAAAAAAAGTACTCTTAATTGTAAAGAAAAAGTTCACTAAAATTCACTCCTCCTAGAGAAAAAAATTTAGTATTTGGTATATGTTCCTCTAGATTTTTTTCTGCAAAGATACACCACAAAATTATAAATTTTAGACTGGAGAAATAGTTCAGTGGCATAAGAGCTTGACTGGCAAACATAAGGACCCAGGTTTGATCCCCAGTACCACATGTTGTGCCAACCCATGCTGAGCTGGCCACTGAAACTGGGCATGGTGGCACACACCTATTGATAGGTTGAGATTCAAAGTTTCCCAGGCACCTTGCCCCAAACACTCTCCCTCTTGGTTTCCCAGGCACCCTTCCCTCAAACTCTCTCCCGCTGGCCCCACACAGAGTCAAACCCAAAACCCCAGAACAGGTCCACTTGACTTTGACCTGGGCAATCAACCACAGAAACTTTCCTTTGTTAACATTAAAAGTCCTCCACAGACCAGGTAGCCTGTCAAGATTAGCTTTCCCTTAACTGTTTCAGCCAGCAATCACCCTCCCTAAAAGATCCTATAAAGTCTCACTGCTGTCTTGGTCTGCTAGATAGCCAGCCTCTTTGATGACCCCAATAAATCTTCTACTCCCGTCAGAATGCCTGGTCTGATCTATTGCATGGGTTCATACCTAATACCTATAATCCCAGCACTGGGAAGGCTGAGACAAGGGGATCACTTTGAGTCCAAGCTGCATAGTGAGACCCTGTACCAAATAAATTAATAAGATTTAAAAATAAAAATTAAAAACATAAATAAACTCTTGTCACCATTTGACACTAACAAAAAAGTTTTTTCCTTTGACTATATCCCTTCAGTTTTCCTTCAATACTTCTGAACACTCTTCTTCCTCTTCCTTTACTGAGTTCTTTTCTTCTGCCCATTTGGACTTTAGTGCTCATACATGCACCTCTACATTTGCTTCTTTAGTAAGTTCATTCACTCCTGTGATCTTAATTAGCCCTACCAGTCCACGTGCCTTGCCCTCAGCTCTCTTCATAACCCGGCTTCATATATCTACTGGTTGACTGAATCTTCCTACTTGGATGAGTTTCCCCAAGACACCACAACCTCAACAAGTACCTTGGCAGCATGCTATCTTCTTTCCCAATCCTCTACCTTCTCACTGATTTTCTGTTCTAAGGAAAGAGTGCGGCAGAATTTAGTGAGGCACCCTGAATGTGCTTGGTTTAAAAGGGAGAGAAAGAACTGCTGTTCATGAGTATAGTCCACTCTTTCTTCAAGTTTAACAGTGAAGAGAGAAGAGAGAAAATAAAATGTTTAGGGAGACACAGGCAAGAGGAAATCTCTGAGCAAGTTCTCAGGCTATGGAAAGGCAAGTGGTCAGAGAAGAGATTGGGAAAATAAGATAGGAATTGGATTCTGAAAACTCTGAGGACAGTAGGAAGGCCTTTCCTTCTTGTAGCTATATTATACATTCTCTGTATGATATTTGCTTTAATAAATTCATATCTAATATATACCCTTATTACAACACTGAATAAATAATAAAAAATAATTTTGAAGTGTTTATATGATATCTGTAACCTTTACAGTTATTTTGACATCCATAGCTAGGCAAAAGTTCCAATTGAGGCTAATTTGTTATGATTGCCTACATCAAGTATTCCTTTCCTCTCAAAATTACATATATATATATATATATATATATATATATATATATTCCATATTGAATTCAATTCATATAGAACTAGTACATTTCAATTAAACTTAAGTTTTTCATAAACTTAAATTCTGAAATGAGCACACTGCCTCTTTTCAATGCCATCAGATTTTGTTGCTATTTACCTCCATGCTGATTTTTTCTGTGCACATGACATAACATAACTCTCAAGTACAATGACTTATTTAATTCAAATAAATAAAACTACTTTTCTATTCTACTTATGTGGGGGGAAGAAAAGTGGGGCAAGAAGCAGGAGGCAGATGAGATTTAGAGGAGAGGTGGAGGTCTGAACAGAGCAAAAGTTCCTGGGTGGGCTCAACGTTCTTAGGAAAATTACAGATCTGATTGAATAGTATTTAAAGTTACCAATGCTAAAAAAGAACTAGATACTTCTCTTTCTGATTAGTCAGAAAATAATTCACAATAGCATAGGAAAGTAAGGGATACTATACTATCTGCAGTTTCAGACTGGACAGCTATCTTGAGCTGAATGCTTCTTTCGCAGAGCAAGGCATTAACAGAGCAAAGGATGACTGGGGGTTTTTTGTTTTATTTTGTTTTGTTTGCTTTTCTTTTCCCTCTTTCCCTTTTCCCATGAAAAAGTGCTCACCAGTCTAGCTCTCCTGCGCAGGTGCTTCCCCCTCAGCTGCACTGAGTGAACAGTGCACAAAATCAGCCAGGCACAGGCAGCCTGCTAAAGGTGGCACACAGAGGGCTCTAACCTCTTTGACTCAGTTGAAACCTTCAGCTCCAGCGTCTTGCCGGGGGAGGTGGGAGGAGCACAGGAAGTGACTGCCCTCTGGCTTCTCCTCCCACCAAAGCCCTGCCCCTCACATTTGGACCGTGCAGACTAGCTGTCTTCCTCCTTCTAGTTCAGTCCTTTGGCTACTATGAAAGGCCACGCGGAAGCTTTGGACTTACTTTTTGTGCTTGTGAAAAGTGCATAGATAGAAGACAGGGCTTCCCAGCTGGGAGGAGGGAGGAGAGCTGAAGATCCTGCCTGGGCTGGCTGATCTAAACAGTCAAAGTGGGCAGCTGAGTGCTTGAAAGAGGATTATGCTCGCACTAGAAATAAGCAGTAAGTGAGTGACTATTGGCTTAGAAAAGCATTAATCCCCGGGGTTATGGGGTAAACTAGCAAATATTGCTTAATTCTAAAGTAAAACTGTAAGAATTCTAGCTCTGTGTACTGCTGTGTGCTGTTTGGAGTCTAGGGGCTTAAGTACAAAAATCAGAGTTCTAAATGCCTCCTCCCACTCTGACAAAATGCCAACTTCTATTTAGTTTGGGACTGTAATCTCCTTCCCTAATCTAGCCTCTTCCCAGAAAAACTTAATAGTAAGTCAGATAAGGAGTCGAGATTAAATTCAAAGGGTGGAATTTGATGTTGGCAGAAATTGCAATTTTGAATTATGTTCTGTGAGTGCTGACATTATTATGTCTATAAGTAGTGATTGTCAAAAAAGTCTGGAGCAGTGGGTTAAACAGGAAAAAAATAAGAGCTTTTATGATAAAGAGGCTGCATAGACCATATGCAAGGGGTCATGTACAAAAATTACATAAGAAGTAATAGATGGGATTTTTTTTTTTAAATCATTGGCAGGAAGAAATAGTCAAGAAAAGTAAAAATGCATGTATAAAAATTCATTAGGAAAAGAAATTTTCATTTCAAAGCCCTCTGTGCTAGCCAAAAAATTCACAATGTTTACAAAGTCAGGACAATGATTCAGGAATACTTCAATTATTGTTGTACATTATTAATACTGTTGCTGGACAAGATCTGTGGTTCTCTGGTCAGCAAGTTCTGGCAAGGAAGCCACTGCCGCTGGTGCAAAGAATTCTGGGATGTCTGAGAGTGAAATGGATGGAAGGACTCACATTCCATCTCTACTTAATGTCCTTTTGTCCAGAAACCGGGTCATGCAAATGAGCTACTTGGTACGTATACAGATCAATATTTGGGAAGGCATTTCTAAATGTTTTGCATTAGAGGGTCTCTGGACAATATCTTTTGGCAACCAGTAGAACAAAAGAATACAAAAGCAAAGAGATAGGAAGGAAGTCAGCTTGACTGAAACAAACCTTGTTCTTTGTTGTTTTCCATCAATCCTGAAATGGAACCTCAAATGAGGACAAGAATAATAGTAAAAAAAAAAGTAGTGTGGCCATCTGTTCTGTTCTAAGTGGCTAAGTTCATTAATGTATGAATGAGAATTTTTATTTTATTTATGTATATTAATAATTGAAGATTCAGAAATTTCTTTAGTACAGTAAAAAATATCCATAAAATATGAGCTATGTTTGAAGGATATGAAATATGTAAATTCAGTTTTTGAAATATAAGACAAAAGCAGATAAGAATTGTGTCCCACAGTGTAGAAAAGATTTATAACATGGTCATTGAAAGCTATATCTCTTTCCCTAATGAAATAGAGATCAGACTATGTACAGTAGATTCAAGCGCAAGAAATACTTTTTTCTCCTAATTGTAATTGTTGTAGTTAATATCAAAAACAATGATTTATTTTTTTAAACTTGGACTGCAGCTAACTTGTAGTTATTTTTATTTACTATTTGTTTGGGTATGAAGGAGCAATGACATTTCTAGCATTCCCATAGCTGGTGCACTGGGGGAAAGAGGAGGACTCAGACATATTACCATTCTCCTCTAACTCAACTACAAAATAGCTGTCATAATCAATGAATGTCCTTTGCTAGCTTTGTAATTTATAAGTATAGAACTTGGTATGGTGCGGGGAGAGAGTGAGAATGACCACGGAGAGCAGTAATAATAAAAATAGTGATAACCAAGTGCTAATAGAGTATATTTTTGGAGATGGTCTGTATTGTTCTAATTTTTTAGCTATCTAATTTTGAAGTTTGTCTTATCTTTTAAAAGTTATAATATTGAAAATTTGAAGTTTTTGAGTTGTGTAATATTTCTCTTATTCTTGAACATAGTAAAGGCATTAAAGTAAGATATTTTTAGTTGCACCCTGAAGCATAGTGTAATTATAAATGAAATTTCAGCCCTTAAGGGATGGTTCAAAAAGTTACTTATTTACCTTAAAATATTAAAGAATCTTCCCTGAATTTATAGAATAAATGAAAAGTATAAGAATGTTGGCAAAAAAGTTACTTGGATGACAGGTTCTGAGGAGAAAAAAATGAATAATTAAACCAATAATTTAAAAATAAAACGTCTGTTGTACAAGAGAGACTGACATAGAGAATAAGGTATCATGACTAGTGAACAAGACTAAAGATTTTTGTCTTTTAAATATGTTAAGTAAAAATTAAGACTGTTAATGGAAAGAAACTAAATGATGATTTAAAATTATTCTTTCACAAGAAAAGTAAAGAACAAGGATATGGAAAGCTAAGCAGTGATGAAGACATCGAAATAATTGTTGATCAAAAGCAGGTAAGTGAATACTTACATATATTTTCTATCGTTGCAATGTAGATCTTTAAAACCTAAAAAGCCCTTTGGGTGTTGAGCTCTTCTTTGTCAACTGTATTCGCCTTTTTGAGGCCTGTGATGTGAGGTGGATTTGGAAGTGACTAAGTTTCCCCCATAGTGCCTCGAACCCTACCCACTTCTCATGTTCTGTGTGAATAAGAGACAGAGCTAGAACAACATAAGAAAACTTTTGGAAAGTTCAAAGCTCCATTTGGTGAAATGAATCAAAACAACAATGATAACTTATTTGGTTGGGGAAAAAATGTAAATAAGAACAAGAGAAAATGGTATTTTGAAAATGTGACACCCTATCCTTCGTGTATCTTGTAAAACAATGCATATAATTCAGAGCAGGAAGAAAAAGTACTGAACATTTTAAAATTCTAAACATAAATCTTGCCTAATTTAATTTCACAGATTATCTATAGTAAATTTTAAAAATATTTTAAAAACACAAAGAAGAGGCCATTTCATAGGCCGTAATACTGCTCATCATTGGAGAAACCTCTAGCTTGGTTGTCATATGGGCCCATATGGGGAAATGAAAACTGCTTAACAGACCATAAAGAATGACCCACCAGGTAGTGGACAGTATCCAACCCACAATACTGCATTGGCACTGGCTCTTAACATCTTTGTTAATTACCAAGGAGACAAGATAACTGCACAGCTATTTAATGTATAAGAGCCGCTGAATCTGAAGATGATGTCAGCTCAGGTGCGGAGAGACTGACAATTCAAAGGGATCTGAGTAGATGCAGGATAAGAAAGAAAGCAGTCAGTAAATTACAGAAGCCAGTCTCATTACATTTGGACAACTTCCTAATCATGCAGTTTGTTTGGCATCGTGGTAACTGTATAGAAAAGAACCAATTGAAGATTTCTGAAAAAAAAAAAAAAAAAAAAAAAAAAAAAAAAAGAGAGAGAAATGACTACCAGAAGGTAGTGGCCAGAAATAATTGATGTAGGGAATGTATTTGCTAGACCTGGAATAATGAATGCAACTAAAATGGTTTTCCAGAGAAAGACTGGCCAAAAAAAATCCTCCATGGAGGTACAGAATGTGTGGTCTAGCAGGATTTATTCAAACTGCCTTGGGGGTTTTTTGTTGGTTTTCTTGTTTTGTTTTGTTTTTTGCCTTATCATTGTTCCTGCCCATTAGGACACAGGAGGGGGGATGTGTGGATTTGGTCCTGTGTTTTGCTACTGAGTGTCAGATTTGAGTTTAGCTTAGTTAGCTCAGCTAATAAGGTTGGTGGTATTGGACCCCAAGTGCTCTATTAAGCTATTAATTATTATTTTGCCAGATTAATTAGTTGAAGTTCACTGTCTATATCTCCTGCTGATCCTACCTGTAAACTGGACTAGCCTGACCAATAAACTAGTAAAATATAAATTTTATGAGAGTATTTTATAAGAAAGCATATATATATATATATATATATATATATATATATATATAAAGAAAAAGTTGCTTTTATTTCTTCTTTAATCATGTAAAAGATCAATTCTTACATTTTTGTTCTTTACTATCTTCCTCCTCAAAGGTTTTACTTTCTTTGCTTTTATTATAGTTTTTGTTAAATATCTGTGTTTTAACAAATTTTGGTGTTCAAAAAAACTACAAAATTGTGCATTGAGATATTTGGAATGGGAAGACCAAGGAAGTCAGCGTCCTTTTGTTGTCCTGGTAACTTTTAGAGACTTTATGTTCTGTGACTAAACATATTTGATTAACTGTTAAGGAATCTTTAAAAAAAAAACATACAAAAGTAAGACTCCTGCTTCATCTAAAAATCACCATTTTCCTTCCCGGGTCAAATGATCCAGTGTGTTCAGAGCCATCGTGCACCTCCAGTTAGCACATCTCTTCCAGGGACACTGCACAAGGCAGTACCCTTGTCAGTGACCTGGCTCTGAAGAGTCTTCCATGCCGAAACACATTTCAAAAACTGAGTAATTATGAGTATGAGTTGGCTTTGGTGATGGCTGTTGGCAAGGAAAGAGGTCTTTCCCTTTGGGTGGATCATGTGATGGTATTGTAAGCAGACTATAGGTTGAAACAATGACAATGTTGATACCTTGAAGTACAATATTTGGAATAGCACATAATTATTGTTTATGAGCCTATAAAAACATTTCTCTGTTTGAGAAATATAGATCTAGGTGTGCATATGTGTGTTAAGAAATTTGCTTTCCAGAAGTAAAAGATTGCTTTATTTTGTAGTTATGAAGTTTTATGAGATGAATTGATACATATGTGTATTATCGATGTATAATAAAGTTAAAACTCTGTAGCTCTGCATCTTATTTTATTAAGAATCTTTATGTTTAATTTATATCTTTTCAGAAACGTAGTAGAATTTTGCTGGTCAGTCTTTATACAACTACTAGTAGCTTTTTCAGGAAGGGATGCCAAAATAAATTATAAGGAAGATAAATAAAATAATTGAGAGTGCTGTGATGGGCAGAAGCCACCTAATCTCATTAAATCCATCACTCAGACACGACCACTCAGCAAATGCTGGGCAGGCTGTGCCCTGTCTCACCAGCCATCTGATTTGCAAGTCTTGTACTGCCACAGGAAGCCCGTGATCTTGCTTATGTAAGCAAATTCATAGTAAAAGCAGCACATGGTAATACGGAGCTTATTCTCTCTCATTGCCCGTATCTGGGGAGCAAAAGATGACTCTGTTATTGCGACGTGGAAAAAAATATTATTTGGAAATGTTTAGCGTTGTCTTGAAAGCCAATGTTGTGATACTATATGAAATTTTACTGGCAAAACTTATTTGTAATGCATATAAAAACACCCCAGAGAATTCTTCAGTTTGTACTGAAATCCTAAAATAATAGGTGCCATTATACACATATATATGCATATATATGCATACATACATGCACACACAGCTTCATTTATATATAAATTACATTAGGATCATATGCCGTATTTTCCACAGAAATTCCCAGGATTTTTAAACTTCAAACTCAGAAAAATAATCAAAGAAAATGTGTCAAATTAGAATCTTAATACCTTTAAGATTCAGACATTTGACAGAGAAATAATATATATCTATAATCAGCAAATACATATTTGGCTTTCTAAATAAATATTAAAGAAGGAAACTTAAGCAAATATTTTGGATCTTTTTAATATGAAAATATTCTTTCCTGATTGGAGGAAAGGAGAAGTTTGTTTAGAAATAATTTTCAAGGAGCTGGGGAGTCTAAGCAGTCTAAGCTCAGCAGTCTAAGTTCCTGCCTGTCAAGTGCAAGGACCCGGGTTCAATTCCTACCCTATACTGCATGCTGTGCCAGCCTCAGAACCTGGGTATGCCAAGTCAGCCACCAAAACTGGGCATGGTGGTGCATGCCTGTAATCCCACTGCTGAGGAGGCTGGATCACTATGAGTCTGAGTTGCATAGTGAGACCCTGTATGAAATACATAATTTTTTTTAAAAAAGTTAACCAAGACAGCCCTAAAATGATAGAGTATTATGGCTACAAGAAAAATAAAAGCCAATTCAAGCATTGGAAAAAAAAAATGGCTTAACAAAATGCTGTGGACCCAGTCAGCTATAGAACTCAAAGTTGCATCTGTGCATCCCTCAGAGCAGCAAGGTGGGAAAAAGTCAAAAGTCAGCCAGTTACTAGGCAACCAGGTGTGCCTAGGTCAGAGCAGTAGAGCAGTAGTTTCCAAGCTTTGGCTATCTGAGATTCCCCTGGAGGACTTGTTCTAGCATACACCGAGATCTGAGGATTTGCATTTCTGACATCTCGGCTAATGCTACTGGTTCCTGATCACACACTGAGAACCATGGACAGAGAAAATAACTAATGCAGTCATAAAGAAGAAAAAGGTGTATGTGACTCATGACTGTTTCTCTGCAACTGGGAATTGTCTAGAAATGTAAACATTAGAGTTCAAAACATGCCACCTAATGGTACTGAAATCAAGAAAACCACATCCATTACAACCAAAGGCACCTTTAAAGACTCAAGATTGCTGTATGGCTGAATTCCATCTGGTCGTCTTGTGATCCGGAACCTCTCATAGCTCTGTTTCCTTACTTGTAACATAATACTTTGCTTTTCTATCTCCTTGAATAGAGTGAATGAGTGCAAATTGAATAGATGCAGGTTGAATACAACTTGAATGGTTTATCTGAGATAAAATATGTAAGTCCTTTATAAAGGATAAGTAGTGTGTTGTTTTAATTAGCTAGTCGACACGCCACACTCTCACTTCAGTAAACAGGAACTTTGAGCTCTAAAAAGATGAATGAAGTTGAGTCTCTGGTTAGGTACACACAACACAGGAAGCCAGCTCTCTCCTGAAGTCATCTGATGTTCTTCCTGGCACCTCCACAGAACTCTGCACCATTACTGGTCAACCCTTGTAAATGGCTTAAGAAACTGTTTTGCCTCAGTGGCCTAATTACACAAAGTAGCCGTCTACTACTAATTACTATACCTAGCCAACATTTATTTATTGACTCCTCAGAGAGAAAATCTTTTCCACAAATGCTTCTTAACTGTTTACTTCCCTGTTGTACCCTGGATATTGCAAGGGGGAACATGCACTTACAAATAAACATACGTAAAATGAAGGTGGTTTTTGACAACCACTTGTCCTTCCTCTCAGTCTTCTAGAGGACTTATGCGGGCATGAGAGAAGCATTGTGGGAAAAGACAATGCCTGATTTCCTGAGCCTAAAGCCCTTCTGAGAAAACTTGAGAGAAGCTTGAGCAGCAAGCTCTGCAAGTTGGAACTTCTGTGATCTTTTTCTAAAGAAAACCAAGAGACAAGGGATGCCACTCCCTGTGTCTCCAATAGTACAAGAGCATTTAAGTAGGATTGCATGTCTATCCTGGCAGTCATTGTAGGAATCAATCCTAAAAGGAATTAAAGACCAACAGTGAAATAAAAATGGACTAGCAAGAAGAACAGATTTAACCG